TCATTGCACCAAGATGTAACCCATGGCTTTTATGTGCTTATTGCCATTGTCCCCACCATACATTGCTACGTTTCCACAGGTGTTGTTATCATCAGGGTGCCCTGCGGTACCAAAGCCAATTCTGGAGTCGCACGTCTTGCAATCATTTTCGTTGTTGCCAATGATGCCAATTCTTGCCCTGCTTGATGATGTCACAGAATTGAAACCCTCTCGATTACAATTTGTCTGCAGCGAAGCCTGTTCGCCAATCAGCCTCTTCCAGGTGTTACGACCCAATGAGGTCGAACGATATTGTCCTTCAGCGATCAAGGAGTACAAGGAGTTTGCCTGCCTGTAGATGACGATCGATTTAACTTGGCTGTCGATCTTCATAGCGAGGCAGATCTTAGAAAATGGTGTGCTCCAGTAGGTGGGTAATTTTGTCTCTTGATGATCAAACAGGGTATTCCCTGAAGAAGAATGATAGTCCCTCGTGTCGGTCCACAATGTGGAATCGTAGTGAAAGGTTCTCTAAACAGATAAAAGATTTTTTTTTTTTTTTTTTTTTTTTTTTGCTTTTCGCGCGAAACCGTGTAAATGATTCTCGTGATTTTTTCCTACCAACAATTCGAACAACATAGGCAAAATAAGTCCACTATAGCCCTGTAACTAGGAAATCAACGCCCATTTTGTTCAATGAAAATGAAGCCTTTGATACTAGTGTACATACACTGTACAGTGATCGTCCCATGCCCAACTACGAAGAAACTTTTTTCTAGCTTAACTTCGTCTAGCGAACAAGACTGTAAACAATATGCTTAACTTACCAGTGTTTTTGGGAAAACATGCCCGCCACATTTCGTTGCTAACGGTTGAAACGGTCCAAAGATGCTCGGAAGAGATGTATTAATCTCATGAGTCCGAAATATTCCGTGATCGTCGCAGAAAACAAAGGATTTTTCGTCGAGAAATTATTTGGGACTTTTTCTCGTCGATCTGGGACTTTTTTGCCATTTTTTGCCAGGCCTCGCGCTATCGCACTCAGTTCCAGGCCTCCTCCGGTAACTCGGATAGCGCGAACTGGCCTGGGTACGAGGCAGGGAGAGTTTGTTTGCGTCCTGTACGTGTAACTAATAAAGCGTAGAAAGATCGTTCAGCTAGAATTCGAATAAAGGGTGCTAGATTCCTTAAGATTATCCGGGAAGTTATCTACGTTATAAACATTGTTATTTACCACCAAGTTTCTGTCTACCACCCTTGCATTCATAGCTTTCTTGCGGGCCAGAAACATAGCCTTGATTAAAACTTTTCTCTCCATTTGAATAGCTTTGGCATAGTCTCGGCGTAATATACACGTTTTCATATTGCGTGGAGATTCGCAGCCTTACCTTCGCTTTTAGTACCATACCTCTGTCCTCTCTGAACAGAAAGCGTGCAATGATTGGCCTTGGTAAGCTTTCGATGTCTCGTCCGACGAACGCCGTTTTCCAACTCTATGAATAGCATGGAATTGAAGATTCTCAACACCTATGTTTAGCTCGTTTTCGATGATATCGTTAATGATGTTTGCACAGTTTTCAAGTTGTTCTGGTAGGTTCATGAAACGTAGGTTTTCCCGCCGGGAATAATTTTCAAGAGCAATTACTTTCTACTGCTCCTCCAAAAATCTTATTTTCAAGGCGTCAATTTCGGTCTCGAGCTTGGCATTCTTTGATGAAGTCATAGCCAGTTCACTTTTCACATTATCCAAACTACTTCAATTGGTAGGTTTCCTTGAAGTCTGCGTGTGACTTAAATTCTGCTTGTAGGTCTGCGATGACATTCCACGCCGATTCAAGTGATTTCTGTACCCCTGTCGAGATGCTTTTAACCCCTTCAATCTCTTCTTTAAGCTCGTGTCTTAAAATAGAAATATCGGATTTTAGCCCACCGAACTGTTCCTCTATTCTGTTATCCAAGTAAGACAGCTTTTCCATAATTCGTTCGAGCAAGGGATGATCGTCGGGCGTTTTATCCATACTGCAGGATTCCGTATTTCCCTCGGATGTCGCTCCGAGGAGTTTGTTTCGTTTTGGAGACGGCCGGGATTCCGTTGAGGACGAGCCTGAGGATCTTTGGTTTTGTTTGGACATTAGACAACTATTTTATGCACCAAACATTACTTTTAGGACGCTACATTCCTCCCAGGCTAACAAGAATTACGGAGCTGACAAAACACCTCCTTCCACCATCTTACTCGTCCTAGTCCCCCATTGTAAAGTGGTTTACTTTAGCTGACTTTTTGTACGCTCAAAGCTATGTTTACCACTACAGAGGAAAACGCGTACGAGGCCGCTTTGTCCCTGTTTTGTGATTTCGGGATTTTCTCGCAAGACCAATTTGGCCTATTAATAGAAATTAATTTATGGAGAAAAAAGGAAGGCAAATATTTTCTAAAATTTTATGTGCTAGCAAGTTAACAAGGCAAAGAACACTACGGATTAACAACGCTCACCCTTATCGTAACCGCTGTTGACAGCATTGGAAGAAGCGACAAAAAAAAACTTTCTCATTCACGCTGAGTTGAGAGAAACAAATAAAGCTCTACTTTTCTTCTCAGAATTGGGTAGTAATTCCTTTAAACCGTTGATACTAAAGCTTACAAAAATCGATACAAAAAGATTAAAACTGTCATTTGCCATGTTTGAAGATACTGTAAAGATCTAACTTTTGCGGATCCACTGTTAACGGCTTCGTGTTCACGCATGAATTCACCCGTCAATCATACTAATCGTTTTTTTACCGGTTTCCTTTCTGATTCTGTTGAGATCACTTCGTATTAAGATATACTAAAACAATTATTCACCTAATACTGTTGAATAATTATTCAACAATATTAACTGAGCCTTCGACGAATAATTGTTAAATATTATTGTATTGTACGCCGTACGTGCGGCCATGGATGAAGCGACAGAGGAGAACAGAGAGAAAGTGTTTGTTTTGAGCAATGCATTTATTCAACTGAATTTCTACAAATCGTTATGGCCTAAAGAAAGCCTGTAAGTCTACAATTTCTATAAGCGTTGTAAAATCCATTTGATCATCATCCGGCGTGAACTGCAATGGAACCAGCTTATTTGATTCTCATTGCACCAAGATGTAACCCATGGCTTTTATGTGCTTATTGCCATTGTCCCCACCATACATTGCTACGTTTCCACAGATGTTGTTATCATCAGGGTGCCCTGCGGTACCAAAGCCAATTCTGGAGTCGCACGTCTTGCAATCATTTTCGTTGTTACTAATGATGCCAATTCTTGCCCTGCTTGATGATGTCACAGAATTGAAACCCTCTCGGTTACAATTTTTCTGCAGTGAAGCCTGTATGCCAATCAGGTTTTTCCACGTGTTACGACCCAATGAGGTCGAACGATATTCTCCGTCAGCGATCAAGGAGTACAAGGAGTTTGCCTGTCTGTAGATGACGATCGATTTAACTTGGCTGTCGATCTCCATAGCGAGGCAGATCTTAGAAAACGGTGTGCTCCAGTAGGTGGGTAATTTTGTCTCTTGATGATCAAACAGGGTATTCCCTGAAGAAGAATGATAGTCCCTCGTGTCGGTCCACAATGTGGAATCGTAGTGAAAGGTTCTCTAAACAGATAAAAGAAGAAAATGATAGTCATATATCGTAAATTAACAGACCATTTTCACATGTCATCTTGGTCACATTCTACTCCAAAAGTTGGTAAGACTATTCAACTTGGTCGTCTTGGCTTTGGGAACAACCACATCCAACCTCCTCTCCCGGCCTCCACGTACAGTTTTGAGAATATTTAGGCTATGAAGACCTTAAATAATGTAGTAAATAACCACGCTAAGGTATTAATGACGTGATATGGCGAGATTCCTCTAAACATTTCGTCGTGATGATGGTCAATGGCCGCCATCTCGGTTCTACTAGTTAGCCAGTGTGAAGAGGCTACACTATATGACTGGCCGTTTTACGACCCGTCAAGATGAAGCGAATCCTGTGGTCTGTGCCCCTTCTCACGAGAAACAATTTCCTTTTTGGGCATGTAATAAATCTTTTATTTACCAAATGTTCGGTCAATATGGCTGGATACTGGGCTGGTTCTTTCCACGTTTTTATGGACCTCAACTCGGTCTCGGTTCATAAAAACGCAAATAAAAAAGAACTCAGCCGAATTCGAGCCATATTAGCCTCATGGTTTGTCAGTAAAGCCCTATTCTTGTAAGAAACCTCCGCGGTAACATTTTCGCGAGTGGCACACAAGATTCTCCCCATGGGCTATCTCGGATCGCCCACTTTTGCTTAACATTATTAATTTGGTAGAAAATATGCCAAAAAAAGGGTAAAAATTAAATCAAACCAGTCTACGAACAAAAATTCTGGTCCTTCATTATAAAACTAAAAATTCATCCGAAACGCTATTAAAATAAAACTTGCGCCAGGATTGCACTGGATTGAAATCATGCCCATATACCCCATTCATACCAAAGCTTAAATAAGTAACTAACAGCTAATTTTAAGCATGAGCCGGAATGGTTTACACAACAGACTCCCATACCGTGAGGACAAGTATGGATTTGCAGTTTACAAATTTGATATTTCAATACCTGTATCCCCATCCAAAAGCTGACGGTATGTTAGCTTCCTTTCAGCTTATTGTTTAAAAGCTGTTTACTAAATAGTTACTTTTCTAAAACCAGCTCCGTTGTTCACTTATGTCCACTGAGGATTAGAATCTGTCGCAAAACTGATTTGCTAGCAATTCTCGGTCGTAATTTTAGCAAAGAATGGTTTAAACGAAACTGCTCGAGGTTGATCGATGGGTCATTTAACAATTATTCCACGAGTGCGCGTAGCGCCGAGTTGGCTATAATTATCTCATATCCAACAAGTGCGAGTAGAATAATTGTTTTATTAAAAACGCCCACAAAGCAGTATCGAGAATTCTTCCATATTTTATTTGTAAAAACAACCGATTTCCATCTTGTTTTTAATTTTGAGCAGACGCTAGCCTGTACACAGACGTTGTTTTATTTTTCTTTTCGTTCTTTTCGAAAACATCGGCAAGCTCGCGAGCGAAGCATTGTTGCGACATTGTTTCACGTCTATTTTCTTCTTCTCCCACCACTACCCCCTTGGGCTGGCGGTCCATGAATTTCCTGCGGTCTACATTTTATCACCCGCGCTCAACGGACTTTGAAGAGAAAATAGAGGATCTGTGAACAGGCTAAGCAGACGCTTACAGTTGCCATATTTGGAGAGCATGGTATAATTAACAATTATTCCTCGATAAGTCAATAACCCATGAGGCCGACCAATCAGAACGCAGCATTGATAATAGACCACTAGTTGGATTTTACTAATGGTTTATATACCATAATGGCTAAGCCAATCAGAGCTCTAGAATTGCATTATCCAGTAAGTCAGTTTTTAATAACAGGCAATATACCATAGAATCAATCATGCATATTTCTTACATCTTCGATTGCAAATATGGTAAGCGGCAGTTGGTTATGAAGAATTAGTCGAGGGATTGGAGCTAATCATGAACGTGCGAAATATATTATCAATGAATACTAAAATTGTTGCATCGCTGCTGCTACCTTTTTGCCATCGATCTTCATGACCAGCGTCCATCCACCTCCTCCGCATGTTCCAAGCTCAGCAGCTTCCATGTGACAGTACACAGGAATTTTTTTATACTCCACATTCAGTGAGTAGGCTTTGTTTTCACGCTTCCTAGTAAACGGATATTTATATAATGATATATTTTTGAGGCACTTCATGAAATCAAGCAAGATTTTTTTCTCTGCATGTTTTAGTAAGGGACCGTCCTCATATTCAATCAGATGCAATAAAAGATTGGATCTAGAGACATGAAAAGAATAAATATATTTAGTATATACACACTCAGTGATCTTGGTGATTTAAGCAATCTGATTGGTTCGCTATCTCGGACTATTCAACAATATTCACCTCCTAGCGAGTGGATAATGTGTGAGCTCGCTTTTTTCCCATTTTCTTAGCGAAAGATCTTTTAAAAGTCGACAGAATCCTAGGGTTGACCTTTTTTCAGGCAAGAAAACACTTCGAAGGATTCAAAATGGCGTTTTTCCACTTACTGTTGTGGAGTTTTGTGGTCGATGGATTGTTTACAACTCCCGTTTATTCGCCTAGAAGAGACCGTTTTGTGAACTCAGCGTTTCCCGGAACAAAAAATTATGGCCCAACAACGAAGTTTATTTATGACAAACAAATTCGAAAGCAAATGTTTGCAGAAATTCTACGTTTCAAGTAAACACGAGAAAGAATACTACATGAAAACGACGTCTTACCTCGAGGAGCCGAATCGCCATTTTTGTCAGCACTTCATGCGAAGAACGACACAACAAACCTTTTCGGCTGTAAACTTGGCGAGTCAACAGAAAACAACAAAGCTCTTCTTTTCTTCTCAGGTAAGGAAACAATTCAAACTTTTAGCGGTTCTAGTGAAGTTATTATTGTTTGCGAAGTGATAAGCTTGTGAATTGCCATGTTTGAAAATTCTACAAAGATCTATTTTTAAACTGTCGCGTGCTAGCTGACCTGATCTGTCAATCAAATCGTACTTTTAAATGGTTTCCTCTCTGATTTTGTTGAGATCACTTCGTGTGTATATACTAAAACAATTATTCTTTTCGATCTCGGTGAATAGTGGCTTTAGGAATATTTACCTCGCCACTTCGTGGCTCGGTAAATATTTTGCCACTATTCACCTCGATTTCAAAGAATAATTGTGAAACATAAGCCATGTAGATATGTGCCGCCCCAAACGCCGTAGGGCTTTTACGCCGTTTTGGTCTGAAAACGGGTATGGACTTTCCCCATTTTGTTCGGGAATAGGGTATGGTTTTCGAGGGAACTACGGGAGTGTATGAATGTAAGTGAGAAAGAAAGAGAAAGATGCGAATTTGAAATGATTTTACAGCAAGGAGCCCAAAAGTGTGACCTCCTTTAATTAATTATAACTCACATCCTTTCATGCAGACATTAACCAATCAGAGGTCGAGGACAGTTTTCAGCTGGCTTCTGATTGGATTCAATCTCAGTATACAAAAGAATGTAAATAATATAAATCAGAAGCGGTCACACCTTTGGGCTCCTTGTGTAAGAATTCATTTTTGTTGCTGTTCTAGTATAAGTAATTATGACATAATTTCTTAGAGGCCAGGTCTGAAAACGGGTGTGAAAAATGACATTTTTTGGTCTGAAATAGGGTCAGGATTTGGAGAACTGAGGCACACCCCCACCAAGAATTCACAGGAGTACCCCCCCCCCCGGGAAAATTATCTGTGCGCCTGGTTATATTATATGCAGAGAACGCCCTTGTATTAGCTTGAACCTAAAGAACGATACCATAACAATAAATTATGACAAAAGTTGGGTGTTATAAGGCGAAACCAAAAAAGTAACAAGGGATGATGCTAAAACTGCGTAGTTATTTATGTTGTACTCACGATTCTTTCCCAAAGATTTCCTTGCAACTCGATCTCGATTGTCCGCCACCTGAATGAGTAGGTAAGTAAGTAAGAGTATAAAATAAGCTAGTGATGAAGGAACGAAAAACGAACGAGGGAAGGCGACATTAACGTTCTGTAGTTTTTTTACATTGTTACTTTAATTTATTTAAAGAAACATTTCCTCTATGTTCTTGAAATGCTAGAGTGAGTTGTGTAACTAGGTTGTTAAATAACTTTTGTATGTGTGTCTAAAATTCTGAGGTGTGATCATTTTTAAACGAAATTAACCTCTTTGGTAGTTCGTTTCAAAGGATACTACCTGATTCAATCAGTTTTGCTCAGTATCCGAAATTTATTTTCTTCCATGTTTACCGAGTAAAATTAGAAAACAAAGTAACATCTAACACACCAGAAAAAGTGTTGAAAAGTGACATTGTTATTGAACCGTTTATTTATGCATTGAACTGATAATATTCTGATGTTATTGTGTATTATCTGAGACACGTCATAGCCTCGATCCATCAGTTAGACTTGCGTCATTTTCGCCATGTGATTACTGTGAACGTTGTGATTCGTTGTGTTTGTTTTTGGTTGTTCAGACAACTGTTAATCTAAAAATCTAGAATTTAATTAAACAGGCACAAAATCAACAATGAAAACGATCTGCAAGTTCAGACTGTTCAGATCAGTACGGAATTTGGGACAGTTTCGGGAGGAAAGTACAGCACATCACAACAGGTTTAATTTGGCTGGGCTAATTTGTACAGTCAGACTTAAATGGATCCCAGTGGGCTGGAATAGACATTTGCGAATGGGCTATCTTAGTTCTTGTGGTCAAATTTGCTGAATCGGATATTGGGCAACGTCGTAATACATGTACTATACTAGTAATAGTTGACACTACAGCTGCCCCCGCTCTATATGTTCTCGGTTAATTGTATTCCTGGGCCGAGTTGTTCAAAGCTAGGTTAAGATAACCCATAGTCTGCTACACAGCCGTTTTTAGAGTCGTCACGCAATGCTCCTCCCCACTAACGGCTGCTGAAAACCGAACTACATTCCTTTCCCGTGATTTGTGGGGAGAAGCGTTGCGTGACGACTCTAAAAACGGCTGTGTAGCAGAGTAGATAAACCAGGGTTAGTGCGAGATTTGAATTTAGTTTTTGGTCTACTGAGTTGATGATTGGAAGTTCAAAAAATAGCGGAGAAAATTATCCGAGAAAATGCTTTTGAACACAAGAAAAAGAAACCCGGGTTAAATTTAACCTCGGGTTAAGCGCTAATCGGCCTTCGAACAACCAGGCTTTGTGTAGCTCTTGAACTATACCGATTCATATTGAAGATTTTTACACATAGTCCATACAACAGGTGAAATAAAAACAAGAAACGCAAGATTTCATGGACTGATTCTGGTCGATTTACACAGCTTTGATCAAAACATTCTCAGTTTCGAGAGTTTTTATATGATTATTAGAGGTGGTAATTTTTCCCTATTTCTCTTGCACTTGTTTTACCTATACTTTGTTTTATTAGCCGAAAGTTTAAGGTTTAATCATTCGACAATTAATATTAAGGAAATTCTTTGATTTTAAAAAAAAAAACTTTATAGAGGCAAATCTATGAGCAAAGAATACGTCAGCACAGAATTTAGTTGTCTGCGAATTTCTGTAAGCCTCCATCGTTCTGCTGATAGACCTGATAAGCTAGCTTGATTTACACGTTCGAATTGGGAAACTTGCTTGTTTCCGAACTGAGTTTTATTTCCCCTAAGTGATTTGTCAGATTTGTGTCTGGCAAATTGTTTCCAATCAAAGATTTTTGAATGATAAGCTCTTGTCTGGCAAACCCTCCAAGTGCTTATACACAGTTATAAGCCCCTTATACCTTCATCCGCGCTTAACAAGTGTCCGGCTTTGCGTACAAAACTTTCAAAGCAGCTGCTTCATAGAATGTCACTGAACACAAAGGGTATCGAAGTGTGACTGTACGTGCAATAAGTGTCACAAAATCAACCTAGGCAGTCCCTTCGGGCATAGCTGTTAAAAGTCATCCTAACAATCTCTTACTTGCGGGAGTGCATAATTGAAATGTCAAAATTACCCAACGATTCCTGATACGGCCCGTGTTCAAGCAAATCGAGATTTTTTCTGGCATACTGACTGTATATAATATTTCAATTGCAAGTACTTTTCTTAATATACCCGCGAGCTGCTAGGATGCCTCCTTGGGATTTCTCCCTCTGTGCGACATCCCTGCGGGGGCAATAAATTGACCCTTTGGGGCTGAAACATGTCTTTCTAATTCACAGGGCACTAATGAAACTGATACTTCGTTACATAGGAAAAGAATCAATCAAGGACCGTTTTACTATGCCGGAAGGAGAGCTTACCCTGTACGAGTTCAGTAATGTTATCCAGCTTTTCATCAAGTTTCTTGATCATACATGCAACTTGACTTATTTCATCAGCACCACACTTGTCGTTTAAAACTGGGTCCAGGCCATTCACCGAGCATGCGCATACCAGCAACAATGTAACCGCTGCAGTCAACCAGAATTGCATGATGAGTCGAATTCACTGCAAACAAGGGATGAAACTGTAAGTGCTCATACCTAAAAAAATTAGTATTTTTTATTTAAAGTACACATTAGTACGAGACAAGAGCCATAATTTGTTTCGAATACAACGTGATCTTTGTAGAATTTTTTTTTGAAACATTCAAATTTACCCCCATTTTGGCACTCCATTGGGTTGTCTCTCGGAAACAAAGGAGCTCTGAACTAGATTAAGGAACTATGACGTAAGTAAAGGAACACGTGGCTTAAGTTACAAGTAAACAAGTGTGAATTGAATATTAAATCCAATTCGCAAACTTAAACAGCTGTAGAAACTAAAATAAGTTGAAGTTAGGTGAAACAACACTGGCGACCCAAAGAAAGGGATAAGCATGCATAAAATCCCTTTCTCCAGTTCCTGAATTTATGTCTCATGACTTCACAGAAGCCTGTCAATTTCTTGATAAGCGGCACGATTGTCTCAAAGAAATTTAGACTTTAAAAACTTGCCGAAAAAAATTATTTTGCTTAAAACTCAACTTTTTCTCCAATATATTTTCGTAAAAGAACTATGAAGGACAAATGATGGTTTAATTAGGATGGAGAAGATAAACAACAACAGCATTTTTTTTATACTGCACCCTTTCTATATAAATAATCCAGGGTACAAGATGGGTTTCAAATGACTAACTTACAAACT